GTCCTAATCTTTTTTACATCTGCAATCAGCAGCTTCCTCCTGGCCTCTTTCTGAACTTCTTCTTCTTTCTTCTTCAGCTCACCTTTAGGGACTCTACTGCCTGGGCCTGCTGGTGGAGTTTCTCCATCTGGGCCCGCAGTTCAGCCTTTAAAGGGTCAAGCGGAATCTGAGGTTTCACCTCAGAGGCCTCTGCCTTCCCAACATCTGCCATACTGCTTAATCCCACAATTCAAATAAATAATATAGAAAAATAAACAAAGACAGACAGAAAGTAACAGGAATTGGATTTTCTCTACAGTACTCGTTCAATTACTGTCACCTGACTGAAGAGAGAAAGTTGGTTAGCTTGAGCAAGTGAGTGCTCAGTCTCTGCAGACCACTTGAGGGTCAGGGTCAGTTATGAGTAGACTCGACAAAAACCAATTTCACGATTTTTCAATCCCTGCCCTGAAACAACAATTGCATGCAATAATTGCAAATCCTGCATCATTCAATTGCAGGATGTCATCCTGGACTGATTAGTAGAGATTAAAAGTTAGACAGAGTGACTAATTAGGGATAGGTAGGTGTTTAATGATGACCAAGATACTGCGATTTACAGGGAATCCTATTTTTAGACCTACCCTATTGACTTCACCACGGTATGACCCTGTATGCCACACAACAACCCAGATCACCAGCTAAGGCCCCTAAATGGCCGCTAAGTGGTAAAGGAGGTGGGAGTGCAAAGACAATCAGTAGGTTTACAGTTTTCACTGTAACTGACTCAGAACATCAAATTTGACAGTGCGATTTCAGACACTGACTGTATACTGAATTGTGATTTACCAGGGACGGGCATAATTGAATTCTGACGGACATAATTAAAGTTATGACTGACCCTAGTCTAGCCGAGCTTCAACTATGTTAGCGCAAAATTCAAATTTGCATTATCAATGACAACAGGATCCTGAACACACCAATTCACTACACAGGATGGATCACAATATTATAAAGCAGTCACAAATGAAATTTGAGTCAGAAACAAGGTCAAACAAGGTTAATAGAAGTCAAAGAAGATAGGTAGGAGAAATCGGCTATGGCTGTCCCACAATGTGAATTTCAATTTTCAATTGTCTACTGACTTACATACCATATTTTGCTAATCTAAAAATAGACCCAGAATCGCCACACAGAGCAGAGTAAGGAACACACTTACTTCATGATCAATTATGAAGAAGATGAGTGAAACTTGGACTATGACTGTCTGATGGTGGTTATATACCCCATGCATGATAGAGTCAAAAATGACCAAGACGACAACGATAAAGCAGAACAAACAACAACATGACGACCGAACCAATCATAGGATCAAAGAGAGCAAACATGAGATAGTACACCATAGCCTGACACATTGGTTACTCCCGAAACGCGACCAAGGCTTCAATAGATCAACAATGAAAAACAAAGCCAAAAGGCTCGAACCAAAACTGGGCATCGCGCCCATTTGCACGAAAAAACAGGTCGAGCTGGCGTAGACCCTACTATAGTTTCATCCGGTCGCCAGACCCGGAATCATCAGGGGTCAGTCACGGCGAAGATAACTCCAATGTGCCGCGGGCGACTATTAATAGGATCTCGAAACTTCAGGTAGCTACAGTACCTACAAAGACAAGACAAGTTCCAAAGAAGCCTCCGGAAGAGCCGTCACTAGGCCCCTCCCCCCGACGGCATCACAGGCCCAGAAGCAAGGCCCAAAAACCAAGGTCACGTATCCTACCCCGAAAACTTAAGAAAAAACGAAAACAGAAAAATGAGAAAAAATGAAAAACGAAAAACCCCGGCTCCTAATGCCCCCTTCTCAAAGCTAACCTCCCCACTTCGTGAGGCAGCTCACCCACTCATCCCAAAATGCCCCGAATTTCCGTGAGAAATTGCCCAAAGCATCATCGAACCATTTGTCTGAGAACCCTCTCAGACGCAACTCAATTTTGAGAGAGAGTAGAAAACGGCCCTCCGCGCCCTCAAGACTGGTCAGCCTTTTCGCCCTGTGCAAAAACGACCCAATCACAACGAGCTTTTGCCGCTTGCTTGCGTACGAACCCACATCCTGTAGATTTTGAAAACATCACCCCTTACTCAGCACACAGTTCCAGCTTTAACCTCTTATCCGTGCATTTGACCCCTTGTGGCCAATCCAAATTCCATAATCTGCATCCCAGGAACTCCCAACACCCTGTCCTATCCGTACATTCCAGCTTTAACCTCTTATCATAAGAAGTTTCAAAGCTTCTCAAAATCCGCTGGACCTTACTCAAAGAATCATCGTTACCACCCTGATATTTGATGAAAATCGACACGTCGTCCATCAGTCTCATACCATGTACCAGCCCCCTATCCACACCCAGGGAGGAAAGAAGCGAAAATTCCGAAAAAACACATAACATACGTGCAATAGCCGGACTGGATGGCTTACCCATGGGTATTCCCACATTCTGCTTCAAAACCTTCCCGCATGCGCTGATATAGGTGTTGTCAAGATCAAACTTAACAAAATCCAGAACTGCGTTGAAACTCAGAACCGAACAATCTTCCAAGACTTTCCCTGTCAACATCCTTGCCCCCTTCCCTCGTTTCTTCAGCATAACGCCTTTAGCCCCATATTGCATCCAAAAATCAACCAGCCACTCAGCAACACGCAGGATCGAAACGTGCGGGAGATTGCAAAACATCTCCTTGACGTCATACGCAGCAGTCAACAACCTTTCCCTTTGGTGCAAGTCTCTATTGATAACCTCAATGCTTTGCACCAGACGACATGTACTCTTCAGGTTAAAATGTGTCCTCTTAGGCAGATCCCAAACCATCTGATTAATTGCCCGAGACACTTTGCGACACCCCCTAACCCCATTCTCATAGAACGAAGGGGAAATCGGCCTCCATCGCCGAACCTCCTTGTATTTGGGAATGGCATAAGCCTGCCCCACAGTGCCCCGTTTATCCCACTTCGCCACCTTCTCCAGACCCTTCGCTTTGTACTCTGCCCCAACCTCATTCAGGAGGTCCAATTCCTCCCGATCGATCAAGACAAAGCCACTGTTCTTAAGGAAGAGAGTATCTATGCCGGCTTGGTACAAGGTCGGGCAGCAAACCAACGTGTCCCCGGGATTATGATCCACGGGGACCCTCACCAACCCGTCCAATTTCCTCACCCAATCCAAGACCCCCTCCTCCGTACAGTCAACTACCCTTGCATCCTTCCCCAAATTCATGCATGCAGACATGTCCCGTCGAGAGAAGAACGACACATCAAACTCCAAAGAGGCCAGAGAGGACATCAACTGCTTCCTAAGTCTCCCAACAACATCTGTCCGAGAAGTGGCCGGGATGTTCTTATTGTTTTTTAACCAATATGGAGCTTCCTCAAAATGCTTCAACCGGAAACAAACATGCCCTTCTTCTTGTTGGAAACCCTTAGGAACTTTCGCACAATAGCATGCAAACCCCGATTGCTTGGAAAACATCCGAAAATTGAAGAGCAGATCACCCACACTTTGTTACGGAGCCACACCACTCTCATCCTCCTCACCACCATAGCCTTCCACTCCCTCTCCACCTCCACCGCCATAATCGTCTGAGCACAGAAAGCCCTAACACCGGGCTTACTCACCCCATAATCAAAAGTAACTCTAATCACCAATCGTTGTCGCACGTTGACTCCGAACTTACGCCTTGCTGCTCCGGAAACTATTGTCCGTTACATGGAGCGCGATCGTTTCTCCAAAAAGCTTCGGATCGCAAGGAAGCTACGCACCATTGTAGCCAAATCCCAACAAGGCAACCCTCGTCGAGAAGCCGGATTAGATAAGAACCCAATCAAAGATGGTTTCAAAATAAGATACTGCGAACAAAAGTTGACGATTGAGGAAATTAACAAAAAACTGCCCGGCCGAAACCAGCCTCGAGATTTTTTCAGAACCTCACAACAGCCATCACTCTTAATTGTGGATGAGCCGAACTTACGTTTAATAATCTTCCATTGGTCCATCATCCGAATCCCACCCTGGCAAACAATCCCCACCGAGGATATCTTAGCATTCACACAGTGATCCAGAATATGCAAGAGGCTAGGAAAAACGATGCCCACTGTAGAATAGAAACTCATATAAGTATCGACAACCATCCTTCCCAGTTCTAGTCCATCCCGCTTTTTCCTACGACATCTCTCTTTCTTACCAGGCCTCTTTCTCTTCTGATGTCTCCCCCGATCACGAGAGTTCAGATACGGATTAACAACTGTAATCATGTTCTTCTCTAAGGCCAAAACATCCTCAGACCTACAACGAAACAGGGGGAGACAAACATACTGCCCAATCCCACAGCGTCTCAGCTAGGCATACAGCCGATGGTTCCGCTTACCTCCGTTCACCACGTCCTTACCAAGTGTCTTGTGCACATGCTCGTTCCATCATACATGCAGCGATCGAATTGTGGACCCAATATACACGTGCCTCGACCAGGGGGACAACAACAAATACAATAGTGGACCCTCACAAGTTTCCAAATCCCATCCCTCGTCGGCAACATTCTGTAAGTAACGCCCAAACTTCTCCGCCCAAGGAATAGCACCAGCTAAGATCAAATGCAGGACAATGAGACGAAAAAAACCATTAAACTTCTTATCTCGCACATGCCGGTCAACCGCGTCCTTCTTGTTCACAGTAGATCCCTCACATATTCTACCCATTTCAGTCCTCCTTTCAGCAAAGTCAGGAGACGAAGAAGAAGAAGAAGAAGAAGAAGAAGAAGAAGAAGAAGAAGAAGAAGTCATCCGAGAATAAGATGTTAAGGAAGAAGGCAAAGGAGCAGAGGAATCAATTGACGAATTACCCAAAACGTCCGGAGGAGAAGAAGAAGAAGGACTGGAAGCAGATCGCCTATCTCGACAAAACGTCGCCCATGACCATAAGGTAGCCGCGTCCGGGAAAACTCCCTATAACTCCACAGACCGGTCCCCTTCCGAGCTTGCGGCGCCGTCCTCCTGGTGCGTTTCTTCCTGATCGCCCAACACCTGCACCGATTATTCTCCTCTTGCATCCTTTGATTTCCCGAAAGCTTGATTAGCTCGATACTCCGCAAGCTCTTCGATGACCGGCTTGACCGTAGTTATCCGAATTCCTGCTTCCTTACACAGCGGTTCCAGCCTGGACTTCTTATAAGCACCCAATTGTTTCCTCTGTTCTTCAATGAAGGCAAAACGTCGATTGACCGCTGGTTCGCTCCCCTTTTGTGTCTCACGGTTTGGAGTAGCTTTCTTCCCCTTTCTAATCGACCTTCGCGCCGCTTCATCCATTCTCTCCTTCAGATTGGTTCCCTGCAAGTCCGGCTCATCTCCATCGGCCTGCAATTCACTCATCTTCTCCTGCAGCATCTTCAGCTCCATCTCCGCTTTTGCCCGTCTTTCTTTCAACATATCAGCCTCCAAATTCGCTATCCTATGCATTTCTTGCAGCTTCCTGTACTCCTCCTTCCATTTGTCCGCCTCCCGAATGTTATCCCTCCATCTTGGTTTAGGAGTACCTCGAAAGGATACATCCGGAGTACTAACGGCCACGCTCCCTCTCTTGTTGCCTGGCCGGAGAGCTTCGTTCTTCCACATCACCGCTTCGTCAATCGCCTTCCTCTCAACATGCCGAATTCCGTTTTCAAGCCTGCAATCTCCTGTTCAAAATTAATTTTAACCAACGTCGTACCCCGCAACTCTTCGATCTCCTTTTTTAACGCAAACACCTCATCATCTCCACATCGCTTATCTGACACCTGGCGCTTCAGCTCCATCAACTCTCGTTGCAGAGAGGCTAGCTTGTCCTCACCGCTCGACGGGCCTTCACCAGCTAATCGGCTATGCAGGTTCTCATTCTCCTTTCTGAGCTGAGACAGTTCTTCATTCATCTTGTCACCACCCGCCGCCTCTGCCTTTCCCTTAGTACCACATATGGACTCCATATGTTTCTCCAATCGGGCTACCATCTCGGCTTCAAACTTCTCGCGTTCTTCCTTCCATTCTTTCTTCCTCTCTTCTTCTTCCTTCAACTTGTTCAGTCGTTCTTCCTCCTCTTTCTTCTTAGTAGCATGTTCCTCATCCGCAATGATCTTCGCGTAACACTTGTCCAACCTCTCTTGGTTGGTTTTCCAAAACCCCGTCCGTGGTTGATTCTGATAATTAACCGGATAATTAGTCGTGCTCTGATAAGTCGGCACCGGTGGTGTCGCGACCGGAGGACCGGTCGTTATTGCGTTAGCGCCCGTAGCCGGAGGCCAAGGAGCAACGCCCCGATGCGGACACTCCCTCATAAAGTGGTGCGGAGACCCACAGTTATAACAAGAGCGGGAAGGGATTGAGGCAGCCATTGGAAAAGGTAGATATCAGACGAACGAAGTCTAGACAAGACAACCACAAATCGACAAAATCGAGGACGACAAGGTACAAGATAACTCTAACCCAACGAGTCACACTCCGTTAGTCTTATCGCTACGGAGGTTCCGCCGTCGAAAGTATGATGGTTATATACCCCATGCATGATAGAGTCAAAAATGACCAAGACGACAACGATAAAACAAACAACAACATGATGACCGGACCAATCATAGGATCAAAGAGAGCAAACATGAGACAGTACACCATAGCCCGACACATGGGTTACTCCCGAAACGCGACCAAGACTTCAATAGATCAGCGATGAAAAACAAAGCCAAAAGGCTCGAACCAAAACCGGGCATCGCGCCCATTTGCGCGAAAAAACAGGTCGAGCGCTGGCGTAGACCCTACTATAGTTTCATCCGGTCGCCAGACCCGAAATCATCAGGGGTCAGTCACGGCGGAGATAACTCCAATGTGCTGTCTGGTCAACCCCATATCGCCAGTTTCACCTCCTGTTGATTCCCAGTGTTCCTACGAATCAAATCTCCTGCAACTTGGTGATTCAGCAGTATACCCTAAGGCGCTTTACCCCAACTGATAGGTTCATTGAATTTGGACTCCCGAGTGCGAATAACTGACAAATTTAGTGCAACGCCACATCACCTTGTACTGCGCTGCTGGGAAATTGGGGATGCTGACCCAATTCCACAGTCGCAACCTCCTGGGATCACTTCCTTGTTAATCGCCAGTCTCCAGATGAATCGCCAAGCAAAAAATAGCATCTCAGAGTCTCTCAGGCCTCTGAGCACCAATCGCCAACCACTCCTGCACAACCCTAGTTAGGAGTGAGTCACCCTCTGTCCAATTCTTCTTGCCACACACTCACCACCACCACCCTTATTGACAACAACCCTGAAGATGATGAATCGCCATGAGACTCAACTCCAGTATCTCGTTAGATGATGATGGTTGCTCCAACTCATCAATCGCTCCAGAGTCTAGATCCGGTTGCTTCGATACCAACTCCTATGATTCTGGTTGTTTGTTATTTGAAGACCAACACTCACTCACATAGACTTCCAGATATGCCCATACATACACAAAACGAAGGGGAGAGGATAGGAGTATCACACCGCACAGGGAGAGATAAACACAACGGAAGACTTGATCATGCGATATGACAGGGTACACTGAAAGTGCAATTCACTGCACTCAATCCTCACAACCAGTCATAAAGAAAAGTCAAGTAGATCACATCCAAGAAACAATGCAACGATGATAGCCCAAACCCAGTATCACACTGTTTATTAAACTCAAAGTCTCGAATTGCCAGGATAACCTTAGATCTACAATGCGCTGCTAAAAAATGAGCAGCACCACACTCCCCAACCCTGAGTAGCCACCCGTAACACCCCTGAGCCCATGAAACATCAAGCGCCACCCAAGTACTGCCTCTAGAAGGTAGCGCCACCCTGAAACAGGCCTCTGAGGCCAAGCGCCACTCAGAGGATGAAGAAGAATACCAGCGCCACAGTATCTGATGATGACGAAGTGTCGGAAGACTCCCCGAGTGACACAAGCGGTTATCGGGTAGCTGAAAATTCAGGAATGAAAATTCTGAAGTGAGAGTTTTGGACAGTCTGAAAATCATGAATGGACCTGAAGTGGTGAAAGGTCCGAAGACCCTGAAAACCACCTGTTTAGGCAGGCTGCATCCTGAAGTGGTGAAGGGTGTCCTGAAGTGGTCAAGTGAGATTTTTGGGCAGTCTGAAAATCCTGAATGGTCCTGAAGTGGTGAAAGGTCCGAAGACCATGAAAACCACCCTTCACCACTTGAGGATGCAGCCTGCCTAAACAGGTGGTTTTCAGGGTCTTCGGAGCTTTCACTACTTCAGGACCATTCAGGATTTTCAAACCTGAATGGTCCTAAGGTGGTGAAAGGTTCGAAGACTCTGAAAACCACCTGTTTAGATAGGCTGCATCCTAAAGTGGTGAAGGGTGTCCTGAAGTGGTGATGAAAAATACGACTGTTGTTAACGTTCTCTCCCAAGTGGAAGTCTGCAGAAGCGCCACCAAATCCTGACAAGATGACCTCTGATGAAGAAGATGCAGCTATGGTTGCAACACCATAGCCCTTTGAACCCACTCCGGAGGAGGGTCCAACATGGCACCAACTTCTCTCGCCTCCAACAGACGTCGATAACCCAGACCTCTGACAACCCCGCGTGCTGGCAGAGTACAGCGCAGGTCCCAGCCATGGTCGGCGCTCCTAAGGCCTGGCTATGTATGTCTCTCACAACGCTGAGCCGCCACCACTTCCGGTTCACGCATAGCGCAACAGCGATGTACTCGGTACCAACTGCCAAAAACCCTGAACCGAGGGGCCCATCCTATCTATAGTTCTACGCTAGCCTGGACTCGACCTAGACCAGACTGACTGACCGACCGGTGTCGTTTCCGTTTTGGCCTCTCAGCCTCTACTTTACCCGGCTATAGGCTATAGAACCGTCTATCAGCATAGGCCTTTAGGGCCTGTCTATCCTAGGGGTAGCCCGTGCCTGCTACTCGCAGTGAGGATAGCTAAAGGAAACTCAGTTAATAGAGGCCTATATTTTTCCATATTTACAAATATGTCCCTCATGAATTTTCCTTACAGGCAGGTCACTCGGTTAGTCCTCAACGAAACAAAATTACGAATCTGTCCTACCTATGGTACAACCTCGACAGAGAGAGGCTACAGGCAACCAGAAACAGCAAGTCATTGCACATACATCATATTTGAATCCAACACAACAGCGGGCCTGCGATGGTTCACACACGATGCCCTCCTGGACCTGCAACTACTTAAAATCAGACGTGGGGGGATCTGGTCTTTGGAAGGTACATATTGCGTCCTATGCACACTTATCAGAAATGACATCATTCCGGGGACTCCGAACTTCGACCTTGAACAACTGTGATGGAACCAAATATGGGAGGGCAACAACAGGGACTGGGGTCAGCCAAGGCAATGGATACAGTCCGTGTGTTATACGGAAAAGACATGGAGTGGTCTCAAAGCACGCGGGAAACAGATATTAAATGTCAACGGGCTTGCCTCAGCAGGTCCAGAGAAGCAGTAAGCCATCTGGGACCAGCTGAGAGGAGTAGCCGGCAAGGACTAGCCAGATGTGGTGTGTATACAGGAAACACACCTGATGGACACTGCAGACCATAACAGACCACATAAGAAGATATGGCTATATCAAGGATTCGGTGCCCATGCCCCCCCGTCGGGCATTGCGGGGGTTGCCGTCTGGATCCCCCCCCGATCGGAAGTAAATCCACTTCATTGGGTAGTAGATGAAGAGGAGGGCAAATGGATTTCAATCCTGGCAGCATTAGAACTAGAAGTGGTTGCCATACACTGCATCTACGCCCCCAGTGAAGTAGCTGCAAGAAAACCTTCCTGGATAAAATTCAAACACAGATCCCGAAAGGCCTCCTAGTCATCACAACCAGGGACTTCAACACTGCCCCCGACAGATGGCTGGACAAAAGAATGCCTCACCTTCCTGTGTCCAACATACATTGAGGAGGATGAACGCCTGATCACACAATTCAGCCAGTCGGTCCAACTCTTTTATATATCCCGCTGATCCCACTGCAATAAACAGACATACACATGCCACAGAAACCAGGATCAAACCAGCACACACGCTCCCGTATTAATCTGGTCCTTGCATCAGAAAACGTTGAAGCAGCTCTGCAACTAGCGAAAATCTTTCTGCTCAGTCCATATCCAGACCTCGACCATTCCATGAGTGCAGTGCTCCTTTCCCTCCAGAAAAAAAAAACAGACCAAGGCCCCGAAAAAACAGACCAAGGCCTCTAAAAAACAGACCAAGGACTGGACCATTTCATGAGGCAAACTTAAAAAAGCAAACGACAAAAAATCTCATGATTTATTTTTGCCATGACCAAACACAGGATCATACGGACTACCATCGAAGCTCTAACGAAGTCCGATAAACAATAGCCATAGCAAGGGAATTCTTTAAGGAACTATTCACATCCACCACCGCGAATAGGGGCAAGGAGGTAAGGCAGAGAGAGATAGAAGAGTTCCTCCAACCATTGCAGACGACTCTCACAAACAAACAGAGCGAGGCCTTGGAGGCTCCCTTGGCTACATCAGAGATCTGGACAACCCTCATGGGCATAAACGAGGAAAAAAACCCGGAATCGTTTGATTACCCAAATAACTTTGGGAAACCTTCTGGGAACGGCTCTCGCCAGATCTCATGGGTTAGTACCAAAAAGTTTGGAATACCGGACGCATTGGGAAGTTTGCAGGACAGGGGTCCTCACCCTTCTCTAGAAAAAAGGGGACAAATGAACATTAAGAACGATCGGCCAATCACCTTACTTACCGCGGTCTACAAGATGCTGACAAAGACACTTGCCAATCAGATGTTAGAGGTCATGGAAGACATTATCCACCCAGCAGAAATTGGGTTTATTAAGAAGAAATACATACAAGAACCTCTTGGTTAATGAAACGATTAAACTGTCACAACAATCACAGCAATATGCGGCCCTCATCGTTATACAGTTCGAAAAGGCCTACAACCACCTCGATCGACTCTTCTTAGGCAAGTGTTTGGAGAAAATGAACTTCGCCCACCACTTTTGATGATGGGTGACCATACTTCATGAAAACGCAACCATGCGAGTACAGATAAATGGGAACCTGGCCCCAACCATCCCATTACAATGATCAGTCCAACAGGATGACCCCATTGCTCCCTTCTTGTTTGTAATCGTGATGGAGGTCCTAGTCGCGAGCCTGCGAGCAAACAAGCACCTAAAAAATGTATTGGTCTCCTCAATCCCGGAGGAGGCCATACCAATCTGCTTACTATTCGCAGATGACTTAACCATAATGGCCAACACTGCAGAGGAAAATATGATGAATATCAACACCTAACAGATAAATTATGTCTGCCCTCAGATATGGTTGTTTGTGACAAACCCGTCGGGAAGGCGGTCTGTTAGGATTAAGACAAAGAGATGAGGATGGAGGAGATGGAGACGGATTTGGAAGGGACAACGCAACTCCAACACAAACTCAACACGCACGTACTCCAAAGTGTGCAAATGAAGAATGAATCAGAATATAGACTGCAGCTGGGGTATACCCCAGCGAACTGGCTGGACTGGACTGGACTGGACTGGTACCGACAGTGGTACCAGGCAGGACTGGACTAGACTGAAACAACACACGGCCTGTGGGGTCAGGCCACGGCCTGGTCCCACAGGCCGAACTGGCAAATAACCTAATAGGCCCTGGTTGTAGGCCAGGGCAGATAGAGGCCCGCTGCACGATCCTCAGACCTGTAATGGATCGCAAGAACCATAAACATGCTATCCGCAAAAGCAGTGAAACTCTGCAATAAAGAAATATGAGAAATCTAGGATGCGGAGCACTCTCCATCCGGAGTACATGCGATGCAGCCTAAGCTATATAATGTCAACTGAAAAACAAATGTCTGGTATACACATCCTAACTATCAACAGAAAATGAAATGTAGCATGATACAATCCTGAAGTCCTAGAGGCAATGACCTCAGTGCGGAAAGGGGAAAGAACAATATGTCACAAGTAATGTTATGTCGTTGAACCACTAAGAGTGGGATGGTCTCAGAGGAGGTGAATGCAGCCTAAGAATCGAAACTCCTAAGGGCAGTCACACACGAAGGTGGGATAGCTCATCAGGCTCAAGGAGGGAAAATGGTTGCGAAACAAAACCAATGACCCTATGTAGCAGACCTCTGGTTGGCCTGTGAGACCAGACCCTTGGCCTGTTCTCACAGGTCTGTGTTGTATTCAAGGTAGTCCAATCGAGGTCGGTACCTCTGTCGGGACCAGCCAGTCCAGTCCAATCCAGTCAGTCTGTTGGGGTATACCCCAACTAGAGTCTGTATTTTGGGTCATTCTACATTCGCACCGTTTGGAGTACATGCGTTCGAGTCTCGCATGGGAGCAGCGTTGTGCCTTGCTCCACCCTCATCCTCCATCTCCATCTCTATCCCAGGCAGAGCACCTCACCCGGTGGGTCCGCCACACTGGTATCAGAGTGGGAACGTTCCCCGCTCCCACCCACCACACCGCATAGTAGGAAACACTGCAAAACCCGACACTGTTTTTTTTGGCTGTTTTTCGGCCGTTTGCAGTGAAAAACAATGGGAAAGCGTGAAGAAAGGTGCAAAAAGGAACAAGTGACACGTGGCGAGAAAAGAGAGACAGGGATTATTATGTGGCGGCCAACGTCGCATAACACGCACACGCACACGCACGCGTCACATGCCCACACTGCCCCGCTCTCCCCCGCCCCCAGATTAGTTATATCAAGATCTGGGATGCATGCTACTGCCAGGGTCTGCACCTGGGAAGCTGCTGGTCATGCGCGTGCGTGGCTGCTGCTATAACACATTGGCCACAATGTGTGTATGGCTTTGTACTGCGGCACGCTGGTGTTGAAAAAGTGATGTGCCAACTATGTAGCCCCTCCCCCCGAACCTCCCGCAGCGGCGAGCAGCGGCCAGCAGGGCAGCAAGGGACGACCTGCTATTCCCCTCCTCCCCGCCCCCCCCCCCGGGGCTGCTGCTGCCTGCGCACATGGCCATCTACAATGCCACGTGGCAGCTTGCTGTGGAGCTGAAGACCCCACTGATCAGGGGGCTGCTCTACATTGGTGAGGGTCTGCTCACACGACATACCCTGGATCTGCAGTACTGCTGCTAGGGGATGGTCATGATCTCAACCCCCTCTCTCCTCCAGCTGGCTTGCTGCAGCGAAGGCCAAGACCCTCCTGGTCTTGGTATACCTTGTGCCCTTGGAGACACCAAGGGCCAGGTATCAGCTCCCCCTTCCCTCTCCCTACTAATCCACTTTCTCTACCTTTTCTCTCTCCTCTTCCTCACCCCCTCTACTTCTTCCTCTTCTACCTCACTCACTTCCCTCTAATCACTTTCACTACTCATACCCGTCTCCCCACCTTTCTCAACTTTATCCTTCTCCCCTTCTTATTTCACTCCTCAACCCCTTTTTCCCCCCCCACCTTCCACTACCTCGTTCCCTTCCTCTTTTTACCTTCCCCACCCCACCTTTTCTCCCACCACCCATTATTTTACTCTATTTTATTCATTTATATATATTTTTTTCCTCCTCTGTAACGAGCGTGAGACTGAGGGTGAGCCGAGGGAGAGGAGAGAGAGGGAGAGAGTGAGAGCACACACACACACTCACTCACTCGACTCGACGGACTCGGACTGAGGATCGGACGCAGACACAGTGGTAAGGCACAAAGTGGAAGTCTTGGATTCCGAATGCCGAAACAGCAAGTCACACTGAGTACGAGTACAGCAGCAGAGAACTGGTACGAGACTGCCCCCCGTACCGTACGGGGAGCCGGTATAAGTACCGGTGACACGTACGGTACCAGGGGCATTTCTGCAAAGGCCCCGAGGGCAGAACTGAAAAATGCAGTATTTGAAAGTGGCGCCCGAATCGCAGCATGGCGCCAGTTGTCCAAAATCCTATGGTACCAAAGGAGGGGTTTGGAAAAAGGGTGYCAGGCCGARAACGGGATGCAGCCRAAACAGCAAAAGATAGACCAGGGATCGAGCCATGGCGAAGTCCGTAACACTATCCCCTCCCTCTAGAAGGCAACGTCCCGGCTGCCAAAAATCATGAAGCAATGCTGAAATCTGTGAAGGACGGGACGGGGCCGATCACTGGTTAACAAGTTGAAAGGGAAGAGGGGTATAATGTGGGTGGCATGGGCTGCGGGAGTAAGAGGGAACAGGGTTTGGTACCGGTGAACAAAGTTGTCCAACTGATGAACTAGGGGGGGTTGGAAGGAACAGGGTAGTCCTACAAATGAACTAAAGGGAAGATAGGGAGCAGGGTGGTCCTATTGATGAACTAAGGGGACTGCATGGTTCGCTATAGGTTAAGGGGGAACAGAGTTCAKGGAACAGGGAACTTCTATTGATGTTCTACTGGGTAAGGGAAACGGTGTTCAGGAAAACAGGGTATTTCTATTGATGTTCTACTGGGTAAGGGAAACGGTGTTCAGGAAAACAGGGAATTTCTAT